ACATATGTTCAAGTTGTTGTTTCTATTGTTGTTGTTGTCGATGTTAATGATATTATCTCAGCTTCTCCTGTTTAAAGCATTTAGTTATTTTTTCTCATTGTTTATTGGTACGTTTTAGGTATATAATGCAGTCACATTCATCATATGGATCTTATACCCTTACAAGACAGGTTTTGGTTCTCATTTTTCCCCTTAACCCTGCCCTTCCTTCCATACTTAGAAATACTTTATTTCCATTTTTTCGTTTTCTCATATTTTTTTCTTTTCCCTTATTTCTTTTCCCCTACCCTTCCCACTTCTCCTACACCTCTTAGTAATTTAGTATTTAGTAATTTTAATCAGTAAATCTGGGGGACTAGGAAGCTACTGAGTGATCCTCTCTGCTTCTCTACCTCCTCTCCAATCTTCACATCCCAGCTTAAGGATTCAAACAAAAATCTCTGTGTATTAATAAACCTACAATCAGCTTATGGAAGAAGATAGGAATAGATCATAATGGGGGTGATCTGTCTTCTTCAAAATTCATATGCTCAAATCCTAACCCTGAATATAGTGGAACATGATGGCATGTGGAGTTCTATCTTTGGAGAGTTTTGTACCTGTGCTACCCCCCCCGATGAATGTAATCATTATCTACAAAAATATGTACTAATAAAAAATTAAAAATTTTGTTTTGGATATTAGGCATTATTAGCTCTATCTTTGTTATACCATTGCTAACTTTATTTACATAAATAAAGGCAAAACTGCCTTTTAAAAGTTCTTTAATCAAAAATGTGATCATCAGAGTGAAACCCAATCCAATATAATTGAGTTTCTTTTATGCAAAGAAAATTAGGGCACAGACACCCACAGAAGGAAGAGAAAAAGAATACATTGAGCCAAGACAGCCATTCCCATCCCTAGGAGAAAGACTTCAGGAAAAGCCATATCTCTATAACCTAACTTTGGCCTCCAGATCTGTGACAAAATAAATTCCTGTTCTTAGTCTACCCAGGCTGCTACATTATTAGAGCAGCTGTGCAGAAATAATAGACTGATAAATACAATTTCATCAGCACCAAAATAATTCAAATAAACTGGACAATATTTTATGAAACTCATAATTTGAGACGGAATATACTTCTATTCAGGAGGAAAATAATCATCCCTGCTGCTGTGAAGAGAGAGCAGGTGATTTGCAGAATAATGGTGAAAATGTAAATGAGAATGTATCAAGAAGGTGACAATCAAATGGGCTCATGAGGCACCTATTTTCTTATCATCTTATATGTGCACTTTTATGATGGCTTCCCATGGAGGAAATTGTGGCAAAACACCTAGCTTAGACCCACATAATACACTAAGAATCTTTAGGTTACCTGCTTGCATTCACTGAGAATAATGCTCAGTATCTAGCCTGAATGTGCAAAACAGAAATGTAAAGAGAGGAAGACTCATGAGCACAGAGGGCTTTGGAGCAAACAGGCTCATTATCAGGAAACAGTGCAGCTGCTTCTACCTGGTTTGGGGTAAGACAAACTGAATCATATGATGTTGATTGGGTGGAGGTCAAGTTCTCTGTTTTGTATCCTCATATGCCAGAAAATACTTACTTATTTCAAGTAATGAGGATGTACTATCTTTGGATTCACAGAGCAGAGAAAGAGCTTGCTTAAGAAATATGGGTGAACTGAAGAGTTAGATGAGTTAGTTGCCTGATGACCATGGCTTAGAGCACATGAAAATTTCAGAAAGGCCTCCAAAAAGAAAGGACATGGCTAAAATATTGGCTTAGTGTATGGGTGTCTAAGTAAGGCAAAATTAGCATCAAAAAAGAACAAATGAAATTACTTTGACTTCTGAAAAAATAATTCACACGAGAAAATTCAGCCCAACATGGAGGCATGTAACCATAGTTCAGTAATTTGTGAACCTGAGTCAATCATGAGTTGGAAGACAGCACACTAAACTTAGTGAAACATTGTCTCAAAATAAAAAAAAAAAGAAAAAGGAAATTAAAATCCTGCAATGAATATAGTACAAAAGGATACTGTATTCTGTCATATTTGGCTTTTTACTCATTTCATTGGTTGTTGTGTCAATTCTCCTTTTTGTTTTTAAATGGATATATTTTTTATTAGTGATACTAGCCATATAGACTATTGATATTTTATTTGGGAAATTGGTATATGAATGAAACATATATTGATTATTTTCAATTCTTTTTTCCTCTTCTCCTTTAACTCATCACTTGGCTGATACCATACTGCATTTCCAATAGTATACCTTCTTGTTTCCTATCATATCCTTTATTTTACTCATTTATGAATTCATATTTTAAGTTTCTCAGATAAAAGGAAATGCAATGTTTAACTTTCTGAACCTGGGCTGGTTTGCTTACTATGATAGATCTTTTTCCATCCATTTTAGTGTAAATAATATTCATTCGTTCTTCCTTATGGGAGGGTTATATTCACATATATCACATTTTCTTTATTCATTTATTGATGGGAACTGAGGCTACTTTCTTTCTTAGCTATTGGGAATTGTTCTGCTATAAAATGATTTTGCAAGTATCAGTATAATAGGTTGACTTTAATGATTCTGTAGACCGACCTTGGGAGTGGTACAGATACATCAAATGATATTTCTATTACATCCCATAAACAATGTATGAGGATTCTTGGTTTCCCACATCCGCACCAGCATTAGATGTTTTGTGGATTCTTGATGACATAAATTCCAGATGGGATAAGGTAGAACCTCAATGTATATTTGGTTTTCATTTCCCAAATGGCCAAAACTGTCGAACACTTTTTTACTTACTTATTGACTGTTTATAGTCATTTTATGTCTGTTCAGCTCATTTGGCCAGCTTTGATTGAGGTATTTGTCTTTTGTGTGTTAAATTTTGAGTTATTTACATAGTTTAGACATATTTCTCTACCAAAACTTTAGGAAGAAAAGACTTTTTCTATTCTCTAAGTTGTCCTTTCACCCTCTTAACTGTTTCCATTGCTGTCAAGAATATTTTAATTTCATGTAATGCCATTTGATGATTCTTGATATTATTGATATTAGAGTCCAACTCAGGAAGTCTATGCATGTGGATTTAAGTGCTTTCCCTGCATTTTCTTCTAGAAATTTCAAGGTTTCTGGTGTTTTAAATGAGTCTTTGATCAATTCTAACTTGTTGTTAGTATAGATAGCAATCCAATTTCAAAATTCAGTATGTGCCAATCCAATTTTCCTAGCACCATTTATTGAAGAGACTTTCCTTCAGTATGTGTTTTTGGTTCTTTTGACAAAAAATCAAATAGCTAGAGGGGAGTTTTTTATATGTGGTCTGCTTATACTCCATTTTTCTCTATGTCATATGTTTTTGAAACACATCATGTTGCTTTGTTACTATGATTTTGTGGTAGATTTAGAATCTCATACTGTGGGCTCAGCAGCATTGCTCTTTTTGCTCAAAGTTGCTTTGGTTATTTTAACTCTTTCTGATTCTGTATGGATTTCGGGATTATTTTTCTGAATCCTCAAATGTTATTTTAATAGGAATTACATTGAATATGTGAATTGTTCTTGTCAATGTGGCCGTTTGAACACTACTAATTCTTGCAATTTATGAAAAAAGTCGTCACCACTTTCTAATGGCTGTCTAAATTTATTTGGTGTTCCATAGGGGTTTTTTTTATTGTCAAAGTTTCTCACTTCTTTGGTTAGTTAGATTTTTAGGTATTTAATTTTTATTATGTTGCAAATAAAATTGCTTTCCTAATATTTTCTCAATTCATTATTGGTGAATGGGGTGCTTTTGAATTTCGAAGTGAATTTTTCATCTGTCCACTTTGAGAATTTGTTTATAAGATCTAAAAGTATTCTGGTTGAGTTCTTCAGATACTCTATGTATTTCAGTCTGTGCTGACTGCAGAACCTGATTTAACAAAGAATATATGAATATATAAGGATTTACAAGGTAGACTTACCATAGCAGCCCAGAGACTCAGATGTGGAAGAGTGCAAAAAGGGCTGGCTATCTGTGCTGGAGATCTGAAAGGTCTAGTCAAAGTATGAATGCCTGTAGCTCACTCTAGTGTCCCTTGAAATTACATATCAGGAAGCCAAAGGTTCTTATCAGAAGCCAGAGAATGACAACCAAGGAAAACTTAAAGACTGGAGCTCTTCAGAAGAAATAGAAGCAAGGCTTCATTCTTCACTTCCCTTCTATCCCCGTCAGCTACAAGTGCAATAGCTAGTGTTACTTACAACCAAGGTGTATCTTCTGTCTTCAATAAATCGCTTCAGCTACACTCAAAACAATGCTAATCCAGCAGGTGGGGTGTTTTTATTGAAGTTGACACAATCAGTTAATTATCACAGTTATGAATAATATGATAATCTTAAGCCATAGCTTTCATTAATTATGAAAATTTTATAGATGATAATCCTAAATATGTCAGATGATGTTATTGCCTTGAGAGCTATGGTTTTTCAATAACAGGTATTGGGAATTGCTTGAAAGTCTCTGGATATTCACTCTTTTGCTTCATTAGTAGTACTGGCTGTGCGATGCAACTCACATGCATATAACCATACATCTGTGCTTATGACCACAGATTTGTTTACTTTCCCTGCTCTATCCACTTTCTCATCTTATCTTCTTCTGAGACCACACCACACAAATCTGCAGAGGCTCTGCTTCAATCTCTGGGTCTATGGAACTTAAGCAAATAAATTCTATTTAGAATATGCCAAGTTTACAGAGTGAAGCATAAAGTAACATCATATTGCAAGCCAAGTTCAGCTCTACCTCATCATTATGTTATGTAATCATGGAAGAAAATTAACATATGGAAAGGAAAGGATCAGACTTTGCAGCTCCCCTGAAATCCTGTTACTTTAGTGGCCAGGGATTTAACTCAGTGGTTGTGCTGCTTGCCTCAAGGACTCAAGTTTGATGCCCCATACCCCACCAAAAAATCCTGTTACTTTTACTTGATCTGGAAACCTGAATGTCAAAGCAATGACACATGACAGAAAAGAAGATAACAAATATTGAGTCTCTTCAAGGCTTCTTTCATATGCCTGTTCCTGAGAGTGTAGATAAAAGGATTCAGCATCTGAGTGGCCACAGAATACATTACCAAAGCCACTGCAACCTTCCTTGGTGAATCTGTAACCACAAAGCTGATGTAGACCCCAAAACCTGTCCCATAGAACAATGAAATAACACAGAGATGAGACCCAAGAGTGGAAAAGGCTTTATACTTTGCTCTTGATGACATTCTCAAGACAGAGAACACAATATGAATATAAGAGATAATGATTCCAGAGAGCGGAACACCACCAACGAGGCCACCCACAAAATATAGTAGGATCTTATTGATAAGGGTATCAGAATAAGCAATTTTGATGACCTGTGCAAGTTCACAGAAGAAGTGTGCAACGTGTAGGTCTGTACAAAAGGACAGGCGTAGGGCCATCAGAGTGTGTAGCAGAGCATGCACAGTGGTAATAAACAGGGAGAGAAAAAACAGCAGGGCACATAACTGAGGATTCATGATGACTGTGTACCTTGAAGGGTGACAAATGGCCACAGAGCGTTCATATGCCATCGCTGCAAGGAGACAACTTTCTAAACTACCAAAAGCTAAGAAAAGGCAGACCTGGAAGAGGCAGCCTCTATAGGAGATGCTCTGATCCTGTGCTCCGATGTTCACCAGCATTTTTGGAATACTGCATGTGATTAAACAGATGTCATTAAAGGACAGGCTGGAAAGGAAGAAGTACATGGGAAAGTGCAGGTGGGAGTCAGAGCTGCCAGCCAGGATGATGAGCAGGTTCCCAAGCACAGTGACAAGGAACATGGCCAGAAACAGGTAGAAGGTGAAGAACAGCAGTTCTGGATCATCTGTCAGTCCCAGGAGAAAAAAATTCTGAAAGAGCTGTTTTATTTACAGCTTGCACCGGTGTACAGAATCTGATGGAAAAGAAATGTGGAAAAAAAATAAAACAGACTTTCTATACAATCCGATTAGACAGTGTCTGGAAACATGGTAAATGTAAAATATTTTGCACCTGCTTTAGACTTGCTTATGATAAAATGTGAGGATAAGGACCAGCACCATATGTTTTTACCAAAACTGCAGGGGAATTTGATACTTCCAAAGTTTGAAAAAAAATTTTAACAACAAAAATTTTGTCATTCATATGAAGCTACATGAATATTCCAATCTTGGGTTATACTCTCCTATTCTTCTTGACTCACACGTCTTGTATCTTCTAATCTCTTTCTTGAGTACTAATACTTTTTCACACTTTGTATCATTTTCTGAGACTGTTAGACACAGTATGGCATGGTTATCCCTTAAAATTATTTCATGATCAAACAAAAACTCTAAGGCTCAATTTATCACATACATCTTTTGAGCCAGTATCTCTATACTGAGATGCCTTAGAATTACTTTTGGGTCTTTTCAATATACAGATGAAGTAGTTCATGACATCAGTTCTGTGTAACTATGAGACCAAGTCAAGGACAGAAAGTATGCAGTTAATGGTTGAGAAAGACTGATTCAGTTATCTGATTATCTGACTGATGAGACGCCTTTCTGAAAAAGTCTTTGTTAATGTCTCTGAGCCAGGCAGCATTAGCATTTCTAAGTGATCTTGTATGTCTCCTGATTTTCCCTTACTGTATTATTTTAATAATTTATTCTTGTGCATAACCCCGAATGTTTCATTAATATATAAGTATGACTAATTCCACTTATTACAATAATTATGATCAATGGAGGATATACCTCAGCTGTGGCTGTGAACAAGGACAGAAAATATTGCCTTTATATTTGAAGCTTGTAAGACTTCACTGGAAATGAAGCTATCTGTCTTAGAGCAGCTAAGTAACAATATAGATGGCTTATTCTGTCTAATCCTCTGGAAATTTCTTCTCTTAATTACATGGGACCAGGACATTAACTCAATTAATAAACACCAAACAAATAGGTAAACTAAAGGATCAGGAAATTCAGGGGCTTTTATTAAAATTGATGTCAATAAAATTATTTTTGTTGTTCCTGAAGCAGAGATTTATAAGATAATACAGGCTTGGAAAAATCAGGATTTTTAACAGTTTTATCCCTGATGAGCAACAATCTTCCTCTCCTGAGGAAAAGAGGGACTCTAGAATAATTTTGTGTTATATTAGACTCACACACTTAATTCAGGCTCCCAAACTTACTTTGTGATGATGAAAAATATTCAACAGAAATCAAACCCTTGGTATCCTTATTTGCTTGATGAAAAATACCTGGTGGATGCATCGCTTAGCTATAATGTTATAATCACTTTACAAATTATATTTCTCCATCTACCACATCACATCTTAAATATAGATAATTTTTACTCATGCAATTATAATTCAATAAACTTGGAAAGAAAAACTTCAGGAGAACATTTTGGGGAAGAGAAAGGAATAGAGCAAAAGTAGCCAACAAGTGTGAGCAGGTGGAACTCACAAATTGACTTTTGCAGTGTGTGTGTGTGTGTGTGTGTGTGTGTGTGCATGCACGCATGCACATGAATGTGTCTCCCATGTGCAATAATGCATGACATTTTTCACCTCTCCACAAGAAGTAATGAGGTGATGTAGTTAATCCCACTGAAAAGAAAGATAATATCACTAGTTTGATAAATGTAAACTACACAGTTTCTTGGTTATGTAGAAAAAAAGTAACAAATATCTAAATTGTTTATATAAATCTGTTGCAAGAAAATGTATTAAATAAAAAATAAATGAGGTAGGGGAAAGGAAAGGAGGGAAAAGAAAAAATATGAGAAAACGAAAAAATGGAAGCAAAGATTTTGTAAATAGGGAAGGGTGGAGGGGGTGAAGGGAGGGCAGGGGTATGGGCAAAAAATGAGAGCCAAGACCTATCATGTAAAGGTACAAGATCCCAATGATGAATGTAACTGTACTGTATACCTAAAAAGTACCAATAAACTCAATGAGAAAAAAATTTAAAAGTAAATGAGACCCATGAATCCCCAAAATTATGAATTCCTAAACTAAGCAAAACCTTGCATATGAGAAAACGTTAAGCATTTTTGAACACACACACGTATATATATTATCATTACAGATCATGCATGCATAATAGAAGTTCATAAAGTAATGGAAGATGCCTAATCAATAGTAAAAAATTTATAATCCTTACCATATTTATTTTAAATGTTTCATTTCAGGATATAATAAATGCATATTTGAAGTTTCTCATTTAGTTTCCTTGCTCAAATTATAATTTTTTTCTTCTCCTGGTAAACTATTGCCCTATTGTGGCATACATTATTCCCCCAAAATTTATGTTATATTTTATTATATTTTTTCAAATAATGAAATCTACATTTCTGCCTTATAAAAGTTGTTTTTAAACTGGAGCCTACTGAATTTGCCAATTACAACTAACATCCTTGATAACCCATTTTTATTAACATTGACATATTTAGTCTTACTCAATGAGTCCTGACTACCAGGACATTCAACTACATTCTCACTACAGATTCATGGATATGTGCTTAGTTGATGGGTATTCTATTTATTGCATTTTATTTATTGCTACATAAAAAAATTAGGATCATCCTTGGGGTACAGTACAACATCCAAGATGGCATGACTCTAGGAACATAAAGGGAGGGTTGACAGGAACATCACGGTGGTAAATTATTGTATGCCTGTTATTTTATTACTTCATTTTAAAAGACCTGAAACAAGTATAGCCAAAGATCACCATTTCTTAGTACTGGACATACATGAGGACGCTCCAACCCCACCCACGTTCTGGTCTTCCAAATCCTAGCCTCCAGAATTGCCAGAAAGTAAATATCTTATTATTAAGCTACCAAATTGTGACAGTTTGTTAGAAAAGCTCTAGAAAACTTCTACATCAATAAAAATCTCCCCATATTCACTCAAAGAATGCAAGTAAACGTAATAATATTTTGTGAGGGGAACCATGTTTGAGAACAGGCATATTTATGTTCATGAGAAAAATGGTCACCACTGCTGTAAAGAGAAACAGATGCATGGCAAAATGACACAAATTGTTGAAAGTGTGAAATACATGTGTCAAGAAGGTGTCAATCATGTGAGAGGCTCTTGGGAGCCAAGTTTCTCATCAC